CCCGCCCGTCGGACTGGCAAGCTGTAAATTTAGACCGTCTGTCAGAAATCTTGCCCGTCTATATATACAGCACATGTTACAGACATTTCACAAAAGAAATTACAGTTCAGATAAGATATTGCTTCTAAGGATAACAGCATGTTTTACATAAAGCGCAAGATTACGTATTACATTTTAAGTAATTATTGGGATATATTTTTTTCTTAAATCAGCATAATAATGTCAGGCAAAGCAGGAAAACAGTAGCGAACTACCCCTGTATTCATACCTGAGACCGACCCGTGAAGATCCGGGATAATTAGAATTGGTCTTCAGCAACCCATGTTTGTCATAAAATGCGACTAACGGGGTGGGGTGGTCAGGCTGGCTGACTTGCTTGACTTACTACATCGATGTTCATGCTGTTCATCACTGGCCACGCACAGCCGTCTCCTTAGTCACATTGAGCCTCAGAACACACTGTGAGGAAATGAATGCGCGGTGACAACGTAACGAGAGCTTTATCAGCACAGTAGTGTCAAGACTGTCGCACAGCACTCCCATGCCTCATTGTTAACTTGGATTGAAAAAGAGGAGGTTAACGGAAAACAGCTTTCATCAAGTGAGATTAGTCTTATCAGTGACACAAAGGGTTAGCTTCTTGAATTTGTCAGTTGAAAAGCAAACGTAGGATTGTATTTATTCCTTATCTTGTAAATGGAGGCGAAAAAAATCAGTACAAAAATCAATAAACCACGGAAAAGCCATAGCGGATTTCATCGGGCCTTACAAGTAAAAAAACGGCGGAAAGAATGTGAATGACGTCTTTACCAGACTTGTGACTATCCAAAATGGACTTGAGACCTTCAACACTTAATTATTTAACCTCTAACACTGGCAAAAGATTATTAAACACTGGCAATTACCTTCCAACATCCGAAAAGTGACATTCAGCGTAACTTTTAACATCCGACACGTATCATTCAACGTAATTTCCAACATCCTACATATAACATTCAACATCCGACATGTAACTTTCAACATCCGACACGTAACAGTCAACATCCGCCACGTAACATTCAACGTAACTTTCAACATCCCATACGTAACAATCAACATCTGACAAGAAACATTCAACGTCACTTTCAACATCCGACACGTAACATTCAACATCCGACACGTAACATTCAACGTAACTTTCAACATCCGACACGTAACATTCCACGTAACTTTCAACATCCCATACGTAACATTCAACATCTGACAAGTAACATTCAACGTCATTTTCAACATCCGACACGTAACATTCAACGTAACTTTCAACATCCGACACGTAATATTCAACATCCGACACGTAACATTCAACGTAACTTTCAACATCCGACACGTAATATTCAACATCCGACACGTAACATTCAACGTAACTTTCAACATCCGACACGTAACATTCAATGTAATTTCCAACAGCCGACACTTAACATTCAACGTAACTTCCAATATGTAACCTCTAACACTGGACAAAAGATTATTGAACACTGGACACTTAACTTCCAACATTTATGTAATGAGTGTAGCGGCAGAATTTTCTAAAAAAATCCATTTCTTCACCAATTTCGTTCAAATTTGAAATATAAGTTACCCGTAACATATAAAAACAATATACGGTCGCAAAAACAATGGATTTTTGTTTTTTATATTATTGTCCAAACAGTGATTCGAACCAATGTTATCGAATTCTAACGCTTATTTTTTTCAACATAACCAACATCATAAACAAGTAAATAGGATGGAAAACGTTTATAACTTTCATTTTTCTTTTTCATTGTGTTGCAGTGAGTGAGTATGGTTTTACGCCACTTTTAAAAATATTCCAGCAATATCACAGCGGGGAACACCAGAAATGGGCTTCACACATTGTCCCCATGTGGGGAATCAAACCCGGGTCTTGGACGTGACGAGCTAACGCTTTAACCACCATCCCGTTGTATCGCAGTAGGTGCAACCAGACAATTAGTCTGTCTCACAGTCCCTGAACCACATTAATTTCCCTACTGCCAAGTGCTCTCTGCAGTGCTAAAGCCCTAAATAAAGCAAGTCTAGATTTCCTCAGGTTCAAGCTCTGGTCCCCCTAGGGCTCCTTTTCAATATAAATGGGCTTGTTTGTTACTATCAAAATTATATATATTCAGAGACTAAGCCTTAGTCTACCAGACAATAACAGTTCTCATTTCCAACCTGACAGTTATCCAATCCTGCAATATGTTACATGTAAAGATGCAGGCTGAATATTCCGAAATATATCCCTATAAGATATACAGTGAATTTGTCTACTGTGGTGATGTTTTTCAGCGTAGTGGTGGTTCGACCAGCTAAACTGCTTTACCTTTGAAGGGATAACTGCGTGCAGGACCATATACATAATTTTGACAGAAACAAACAATTCTTTTAAAATGATAAGGAGCCCCTGTCAGATAAGAGATTCAGGAGAAATCGAAATTTGCTTCATTTATGGCTTTAGGGGTGCAGAAAGGGCTAGGCAGAAGGGTGATACTGCTGTTGAGGCATGTCGACCGTGAGACAGACTAGATCATATATTATGTAACTGCATGACATTCAGCTGGGCACATGTTTTGACCATCTAATTATCTGAGGGTCTCTAATGCCACAGTTATATTGGCAGTGCCGTCGGTTTAGTAAGCCGACTGTTTGATTTGACCCCCAAATAACGTCAGGTTCACAATTCGGACAATTGCTGATTGGCAACTGTCGCCGGGCCCTGTGGCAGACAGCGACAGGGTCGCAACTAGGGGTGAGTGAGTGAGTGAGTTTAGTTTTACACCGCACTCATCAATATTCCAGCTATATGGCGGCCGTCTGTATTGTTTTAGTCTTAGTTTTTAGTCGTATCCGAACCTTCTCCTACAGTAGGTGCCACAATCACTGGCTAATCAGGGATTGATTAACATGTGTGAGCCGAGGACTGTCAAAATTGGCACGACCGGTAAGCTCACTGTCAGACAGACAGGCAGACAGTTTATTCTCAAGAGAAACCACCAACGGTGGTACATGAGAAAAGTACAATACAAAATTCGCATATGATAATATAATCAATCAAGATGACAGCAATATAAGGTAAATACATATATATATAGTGAAATTTTCAATGAAATATGACAAAGTAAGTTAGCAATATTCTCATGCAGCTGCAACTAGTCTGAAGATGATGTTAATGAATTTAGACAGGTCTTTCACATTTTTACTCTGGTGCTAGATAAACATTTTTTTAGCTTGAACATATTAGGCCATTCGTAGAGATCTTTACGTATGTGTATAGACCGCGGCTGGAGAAGGGCTTCACACCTGAACAGGTAGTGGAACTCATCACCAACCGCCGGGGAATTGCATAGATGGCACAAACGTTCCACTCTTGGGGTATCAGACCAGCGTCCGGTTTCAACTAGTAAGTTGTGATTTGTTGTTCTAAATTTCAAGATTGGATAATAGACGTTTTTTGGTAGATAAAGGTATTTTTCAAAACTTATATTTTCTTTAAACATTTTATAGCACACACCTTTAATGGGAAAACTGGCTACATCAATTACAGAGGTGTGAAATTTCGCTGTCAGAATTGGACTGTCAAAATCGGGACAAAACCGAACTAGAGACAAGACCGGACATGCAGAGATCTCGCTCTCATCTGGTTGATGATTGTGCTTATCCTAATCCATTAATTAACATACCTAGGGCTGGGTGAGCGGGAATAACCCTGATTCTACACCACTTTTAGCAATATGACAGCAATATCAGTTTTTGTTTTAAGGAGTGAGTGTGGTTTTACGCCGCTGTTAGCAATATTCCAGCAATATCACGGCAGGGGACACCAGAAATGGCCTTCACAGATTGTACCCATGTGAGGAATCGAACCCGGGTCTTTGGCGTGACGAGCGGACGCTTTAACCACTAGGCTTCCCCGTCACCCCTTTTGTTTTAATGATTAAGCTAGGTACATGTTTTGACTATCTAATGATCCGAGGGTCGTTAATGGCGGGGTGACAAAATAAGCTTAACTGATTGGAAAAACAACACCAAGTTGATTTTAATGGAGTGGGTTTTTAAAACCTGCAAAACAAATTTCTGTCATTTAATAACGCACCGGACTCCGCATTCGGAGGGGGAAAAGGTTGAAGTGAGAGGAGAGATGATTTCTGTCTGTCATTATTGATTCAAGAACGCGTTCGGGGAAATGAACGGCGAGAAGGGAGGATGCTGCCAAACCTGAACGGCTGGCTAATAAGGGCGCGTTATAGTGAAACAAAAGCGCAGAGGCAGGCGCCTGACATGGATCGGGAGACGAACGCTTAGTCTCTGAAAACATAACACCGATTGAACATAATAACTTCATTTAAGCTTTAAGAAAGGTACCTAAAAAGAGGCTGGAATGTTCTGATGATAACACACCCTGTGTCTGAGGAACATTATGTTCATACAGATTACGCACTGTTAAAGGGCTGAGCGGAAGGGAGTGTATATGAGGAAGTGTGATAAACTATTCGCCAAGATACTGTCCAATTGTAACGCAGAGTGTGTTACGGACGGACATGCATTGTGTAATGGCGATGAAAATAATATTTATATTAGACCCACATCTGGTACAATGTATTCAAAGACGTGCCTAGTATGGTATCTAAACATATTTGACAATTAACGTTAAAAACGATATCTATGAATATTATGCGTGATTTAAGTGTAATCGCTGGAAATAATACAGTTGTTGGCATAGCATTCAACGGGGATATTAGAGTTTTAAAGACAGCAACAGCTATACCACTGGGAGTGATGTGTACTATTCGATCGGATGACTTTCCCTCATCAGCATCACCCCACGTTGGAGCTCCTTTCTCACCAGCGATCTCGCTTCCAAACAGGAAAGCGTACACACTTGTTTTGACGGGCATAAAAACATAGCATGGGCCACTTTATGAGTAACATATGTAACAGAACGTAATAGAATTCGGGCTAACCTTTCCAGAATGGGGAAATTCCCACGAAGCTGCAGTTGAAACAAGTCCTAACTACCAATGTCTGGTACTCCTTTTCCTATCGTCTGCTCCCCGTCGCCATTTTGAATTCTATTCCAATTTGGGCACTGTGCGCCGACTCGGTCACGCTGCACACTGGCTGGCAGTGTTTGCAAAGCTAAGCGCGAGGCACCGAGATAGATGGGGCAACCGGACGACGTAAACGAATCCAGCTCAGCCCTAGCGAAACACTTACATTAAACCGCCATCGAGATCTGTGCATTCATCAGAGTACATTGTGACTGAAAGACATTACATCATTTCCACGTTAGGAGTCACACATGTGGTCTCCCTGCTGAGATCGTAAATCGTAGTGACACGGAAGTGTCACGGAAGTGTCACCTGGTTCTTCCCGGAATACGCACTTGCAAAAAACAATTAGATTAACACGTAGTCTCTAATTAATTTTGACAGAAACAAATACGTCCATTAAAATTGGACAGAAGACTCAGAAATCGAGAGATGGGAGACTCAGAACCTGAGTAAATCTCGACCTGCTTTATTAACAGGGCAGAAGGGCTACAGCTAGTCTCTAGTACAGACCCTGAACCCTGAAAATATATCCAAGAAAGCCCACACAAGTCTAGAAAATGTGGCAAGTCTAGATTTCCTCAGCTTTTAGATTTCCTCAGCTTCTGAAAATGAAGAAAGTCTCAGGGCTCCTTTTCATTATATTTTTTTTTTACTATGAACTTTTTTTAGTAAAATATGTTCATTTCAGAGACTAGTTGTTAGTCTAGGCTACAGCCAAAAGCCGACGTAAAACCCTAAATCATCATCATGGGCAGAAGGGAAAAAATAATGTGGTTCAGGGATGGTCAGGCGGACAAAGGAGCCAGTTTATGTACTGCCTCTTGCATAAAGAATATACTCCGAAACGTCAGTCAGTGATGATTACACAGTGCCAGTCAGTGAGTGAGTTTAGTTTTACGACGCTTATAACACAATTCCAACAATATCACGTCGGGGACACCAGAAATAGGCTTCATACATTGTACCCATGTGGAGAATCGAACCCGGGTCTTCGGCGTGACGAGCGACGCTTTAACCACTAGGCTACCTCACTTAACCCTGAAACGTTGAGACTCCGTATAGCACAGAAGTTGACGTCCATATATACTCATGCCAATAATGGTTGTCACCCCTTCAATGTTTTTAATTGGAGAGGGGGTGGGGAGGGGGTTGACAACCATTATTGGCATGAGTATATGTTCCCGTCTTTATATAAGTCCAGATTAGATGCATATGATTGCAATGTCAACGTGACATGATATGAGAGATAGGTGGGCCTTCTCACCATAATAAATCTGTAACTTTGTCCTGCTTCCCGGTATCTGTCTTACGTCCTCCTTTCGAGGTAAACTGCATTTATATTACTCCCACACATTCTAATATTAATTCGATATTTAACTTTAATTTTCATTTAGTTTTTAAACAGGCGCAATTGTGCGTGCCTTTGGTACGCTAGAAATCATTGTGGGGTCGAATGCCGGTTCACCCCGTTCATTTTGGTACCCGTGAAGATCCGGGTTAGAATTGATCTGCAGCATCCCATGCTTGTCGTAAGAGGTGACTAACGGGATCGTGTGATCAGGCTCGCTGACTAGGTTGACACATGTCATCGTGTCCCAGTTGCGTAGATAGATGTTCATGCTGTTGATCACTGGCTTGTCTCCCTCTCGTGAAGATCCAGGTTAGAATTGGTCTCCAGTAAACTCATGCTTGTCGTAAGAGGCGACTAACGGGATCGGATGGCCAGGCTTGGCTGACACATGTCATCGTGTCCAAGTTGCGTAGATCGATGCTCAGGCTGTTGATCATTGGATTATCTGGAATGTTGCTGAGTGCGGCGTTAAACAACAATCAATCAATAGATCATTTTTGTAGGTTTGACAGCACTATGTTGGGGACTTCACCACGTGGTCCGAGAACAGCCTTAATTCGTGTCGGGGCAGTGGGGTAGCACAGTGGTTAAAGCGTTTGCTCGTCACGCCGAAGACCCGGGTTCGATTCCTCACATAGGTTCCATGTGTGAAGCCTATTTCTGGTATCCCCCGCTGTGATATTGCTGGAATATTCCTAAAAGCGGCGTAAAACCATACTCACTCACTCACTCATAATTGTATCGGTCACGTGAAGAAATACATGTACATTCCAATCTGGGTACGTCTTTGGCATGGGACCGATTATTTACAGTTTCCGTTACGCTGTCAATCACTGACTTTACTTACCACTGCATTAAAAGAAGGCATTTTTGTTTCCTTTCCTCGTGTTTGGAATTGTTGGATTCTATGCCTAAAGGTACAAGAGCCTAATGCTACCACTTTCGTAGCAAAAAATATTTTTTCAGCGACAATTCTCGTAGCTTCGGTTTTTGGTTTTTGGTGCTTTGGGGGTATTCTCTCAATATTTCAAATATTTTCTCGTTACTTCCATTACTTTCTCGTTGCTTGGGTATGTTCTCGTTAATTTCGAGTAGCCTATATTCTCGTTGCTTTAATTATTTTCTCGTTCCTTCATATTAAATTGTTGACCAAAACTTGAAGCAACGAGTAAATGCTCTACATTTCAAGGGTTGGTTTTATAGAAACTCAAAGCAACGAGAAAATACTCGAAGCAACGAAAAAATAGTTGAAAGCAACGAGAAAAATAGTTCGATGAAAAAATATTTTATGCTTCAAAGGTGGTACCAATTAGGCTTTGTATGGAAGATGATATTGGCACATACAGCTGTGGCTTCATGAACCATAAGTTTTGAAGGTGTGATCATAAATGGAGATTGAACATTTCGGGTTTCAAATTGATCCGAATATCAGGATTTATTATACATATTCCAAACGGCAGAGAAAATGTCATTGTGAACGGTCCTGTACCAACCATTCACATTCGTGACCATCTCGTGTTATTCCGGGACAAGCCGAATAGCGAGGTTACGGAAAGAGGCGAGTGGTGACGAATGAACCATTCAGTGCATTCGGCACCACTCGCCCCCTTTCCGTAATCTCGGTATTCGGCTTGTCCCGGACGTATTCGTCTTGTCCCGGAATAACACGAGTTGGTCACGAATGCATTCAGTGGTCTTTTTTGACAAACGGGCTTGTAGACCCCCTACCATTTAGTCTCTGAAGTGAACATATTTTTCCCGAGAAAAACGGTTCCTAAATTATAATCATAATATAAAGTGAAAGGGGACCCTGAGGCTTTCTTCATTCCTGAAACTCTGGTAATGTAGACGCGCCACATATTCTAGACTCGCGTGGATCTGTATGCAAGGCTAGTGAGAGAATGAGTATGGTTTTACGCCGCCTTTTGCAATATTCCAGCAATATCACAGCGTTGGACACCAGAAATGGGCTTCACACATTGTACCCATGCGGGGAATCGAACCCGGGTCTTCGGCGTGACGAGCGAAACTTTTACCATTAGACTACCCAACTGCCACAATTAGTCAAGAAATCGCCGTTAATGAGGTCAGACATACTATTATCTAAAAAAGAAATCCAAAACCCATCAAAACAAAATATCCACCTAAAGTGGCAAAGTATATACCTAAATTCAAATTCTAAACTAACATATCTACTCCAAAACCACTCAAAAACTGTTTTTAAAATACCATATATCCAAACGCGTTGACTGGGATATAACCAAATTAAAAACAGATGACACAAAATTAAATCCCCATCTACATAAAATAAATTAAAAACACCAAACAGACAAATGCACACACTGCATTGAAACAGAAACGCCCCAACTAGAGTTATGCAATATTACCGGTAAACCGGTGTATACCGGGAAAGTGTCTCGCGATATGGTTCAGATTCTGCAATATATTGGGTCATCCAGAGTTGAATGATCTGCCCTTGATTTCCATAGCGACAAAATGTCTTCTAAAAGTGCCAAACATACTTATCAAAACTGACCTTCCAGATCGTACAGAGTGGTACAGGGTGGCTGACAAGACAATGTACACTGCGGTAGTGATAAGGATTAAGAATGCAGATTAGCGTCATATAAATAATTACAATTAAGTCTTGCATGACTTGGCTACATAGTTTTTAGTCTTTAGAAATATTTGGACGATGACTGTCCTGTATAAGTCGCTATGACACAACCCTAACGCTCCTGGCAGGTTGCCATATCTTTCGGTCAAATCACTCCTCTGTCAATCAAACACGAGATAGCCTGGAGGCCGCGTGCGTGATGAGCATTAAGTCAGAAAGCGCCCGTTAAATCTCCAAATCATCATCATCATCATCAAAGTCAGCAGAGAGGCACAGGAGGTCACTGAACACTGACCAGGGCTTAGATTTTCGAAGCTCTCTTAGCGCTAAGATAGTCGTAAGTGCCATACATTAACTTACGACTATCTTAGCGCTAAGAGAGCTTCGAAAATCTAAGCCCAGGACAATACCAGCCGAGCAGTTCCAGAAGAGCAGTCTGAAGAAACCTATAGTGACGACCACACAGACAGCTTAACTCGGGAAAGACTACTTCTTAGTCCGTCTCACAGTCCCTGAACCACATTATTTCTCTACCGTCTAGCCCTCACTGCAGTGCTAAAGCCCTATATGAAGCAAGTCTAGCTTCCCTCAGCTTCTGATAGATTCCCTCCGGTTCTGAATTTCCCATCTGAGTAGGGCTCCTTTTCAATTAAAATGGGTTTATTTGTTACTTTCAAAATTATACATATATAGGGACTAAGCTTTAGTCTACTACATATCCCACGCTAGTGTAGTCTAGTCAAATGTAGATTTCCTCCGGTTCTGAATGTCTGGTCTCCGTGGGGCTCCTTTTCAATTTAAATGGGTTGATGTGTTACTGTCAACATTACATATAATCAGAGACTAAGCGTTAGTCTAAGTGGCTGACGCAGATCTGCTTCACTTGTCTCAACTGAGAAAACTGACCAGTCCTTTAGCTACCAACAGTTCATGTATGGTGATCAAACTGATCATGTATCTTCATCACTAAAGTGATTGTTATGTGCTGAATGTAACTGACCAGTCCTTTAGCTACCAACAGTTCATGTATGGTGATCAAACTGACCATGTATCTTCATCACTAAAGTGATTGTTATGTGCTGAATGTAACTGACCAGCCCTTTAGTGACCAACAGGACATGCATGTTGATCAAACTGACCATGTATCTTCATTAATAAAGATCTCCGGTCCAACCATGTCAATTCTAGT